GAATATGGAACGGACGAGTACGTATACACAGCAGCAGCGCGTGACCATCGTAGGTATAGTCCGTGGTCTCCACCACGCCTCCGGCAATAACGTACATACATGCAAGAAAAGAAAAGACAGTGTGTTGGTACATCGATCAATAGTACATACATGGAGGACATGGGCATCGTGGAATCGTAAAACTGTGGAATCACCTCCAAAGATAGCGTGTAGGTGTGTCATGTGGGACCCGCGACATCGTGGATGCACGGGACCGAGGACGGGAGCGTCCGGCAAACACATAGACGTTCACAGCATTGAACGTTGAACGGGGGGAGGAGACGGGGGGAAGGAGACGGATCAGGCTAAGGATGAAGACGATAGACAACAGACTCAAAGGTCCCCGCGTGTCCAGTCCACGGCCCTCTTCAACTGCTCGAGCGTGATGAAGATGAGCATCGTCGTCGGCTGGAGCCGCGTCCACGCCGGCAACCAGCCCTTGAACATGAACATCGCGCCCTCGTTGCGCATCGACTGCCGGATCATCTGCAGCGTCGACTTGCTCTCCGCCCCGGACGCGCTCATGATCCGACTCTTCAGCACGTCCGCGGGCGAACACACCGTCGTCGCGACGGTACCCTGTCATTAGCAGCAGCAGCATCAGACACCATACCGAGCACGGATGGAAGTAGCACAGCACGTACGGCGGCGAAACTGGCTGTGGTGTGGCAGTAGATGTTATCGTCGAAGTAGCTCGTTTTCAGCAGCTCAGCCTTGAAGAAGTCGTATCTGATAGTGTATGTGTATTTCTGCGTCAGAACGCCACGCCTTCTGAGGTCGATGGCGCGGAAGCACTCACGAAGCTAGTTGACTCGCATTCATCAAGACCGCACGGAAGACATTCGGCCCCACACCACGGCCGAGGGATGCCCATCCCTCATCCTTGATCATCTACATCCGCGAAACATGCTTCAGCGAAGTGAACTCGCGCCACCAGAAGGCCACACATACCCGGTACAAGCCGTGCAACGAGTGCCTGTAGTTGAGGCGCTTCTCGGGCGGCTTTCCGAAGTCACCTTGCATGCGGACCATGAGGATTTCTATGGCAGCACGTCAAATCGTTGTTCCCGTGGCCGAGACTTGAGACGAGACCAAGCTCACCTCCAGGGTTCCCGACTAAGCCCGCGATACCGCCGGCTATAAACAGGCAGTTGTCAGAACACCTATTGACAGCAAGAACTTGCTCCCACTACGCACCCATGCTGCCTGCGATCGCAAGCTGCCACGCCGGCGACTTCTCGTCTACGCACACAGTTAGTGTCAAATCCCAAGGCAAGCAGCTCACAGACGCACTCGCTCCAATCAACTTCTTGCTCTCGTCGTACGCCCAGAACCGACAGATCGAATACGTCATCTGCCTGAGCCACGTCCCCGAGATGCCGTCAAACAAACCCCGCATGCCCGCCGTGCGCACCGTCTTCTTGAGCGAGTTGATCATGCCTTTATCGCCCGTCGCTTGCAAGCGGACCTTAGTCAGGTCGAGGGGACTATACGCGGCCCAGGATAGTGAGCACTCTATCCCCCTCGCTCGCTAATATGACGACATGGAGACATACTGTGTTATCGACGCAGCGATGGTCGCAGCAACACCTGCGATGGGCGTGGATGGTATTACGCATGCTGTCTGGTCAAGCTGAAGCGACTCAGGACACACCTCCTAGCCAGAACGGATACGGCTTCTTCTTTTTGGGGGCAGCGAGAGCGGCCTGCGAGCCGTTCACGGGCAGCTGCGCAGCGGTCTCCTCTATTGACTTGGACATCGTGGTACGGGGTATGCCTTGTCTAATCGTCGAACTATGCGGTATCGTCTAGCCTGACCGGGATCAAGGTCTGCCAATAGTCGAAGGTCGCAGTGGTGTCTACACGTGCGATCGAGGGCGCAGTCGTCAGTCGTAGGAACGAGCGAGGGTGTGAGAGAGGACAACAGACCGGAATATCGAGCGTATTTGAGTCGAAGGGTCGAGCGTCGTGCCCGATTTGAACCGAAGGGTGAGAGCGGGCAGCCGGGGGCTGTCGGTGAAAAGGGCGAGGGAAAGAGACGGAACCCCTCGCGCGCTGCAAAGGGCACAGTATCACCTGACGGGGAAGGAGCGGAAGGATACCCCTTCTGGTCGACGCAGCTCGTCTCCAGACTCGCGCCTGTTGCAGATCTGACGTTAGGGGACCACCACCGGTCCTGCTGCCGGCCTCCTCGTCTCGTTCAGGACAACACCAGTCCGCCTGACTTACGCCACCCTCCTTGACTGCGCCGTCCATCTTCAAGTCGCGGTCCTGTAACTCCTGTAACTTCCCAACAGCTGCTTTTGACCAGGCGATGTGTGGGAACAGAACTCGCGTAGGAAAGCATCGATGTATGCGCCGGCCGAGAGAAGGAAGAAGGAGGAAGTGCAGGTCGCAAGACCAGCCCTATGACGGCTTCAGGTCACCTGTGAGACGCTGCGACTCCACCATTTCAGACTATCGGCATCTTCCGTCTTCCATTCTAACGCGATCACGTGCATTAGTTGACCGCGTCGCATCAGACTCAGAGCCAGCCCTGTCGACACGCATGTTGGAAGCAAGGGCGTCGTCGGTCTCTAGAGACAGAAATGTCCAGTTGCGTGGACAGAAAACGAACGACGTGCGATTAGAGTGTGCATATGAAACGGCGGTACAAAGCCACGAAGACACAACTATCCCAATCAAACTCCCACCAACACCGATCCTCGGACACGACTGTCAACCATACAGGTGGTACCCAAACACACCTACAACGACAGCCGTAGTCAGCCAACACATCTCCTTCGACACACGCACCCGCGACGCGCCGTTATAAGCTCGCTGCCATTGCCAACCTTGCGTCACGCCAGGCGGGATGTTCGCCATCGTCATCGTGTGCATCTTGATCGGAGTCGCGTACGGCGCCGGTTCGGAGGTCGCTGCGCATGAGGAGCGGCGTAGCGTTGAGATTTTATACAGGCGCGAGAGCAAAGGCAGACGGAGATGGCCCGAAGACGTACATGGAAATATCCCACCGTTGTACACTGCGGAGGCGACGGCTTCCTGTAACTCATAGTCTGCGTCGGACGGAACAGTCGACAAAAGTCCGACCCTGGGCGGGTCATGGGATGGACGCGTCAGGTTCCCATAGTAGAACGCTACCAGGACGCTACAACAGCATATCAGCATATATCCGTCCCGAGGAAAGCTGTTCACTCACGACTTGAGAAACGGGTCGCCTAAGCTCCAACTATATAAGAAACCACCATGCCCCGGGGGGTCCGTTGCAGCGAGGACCGGAGTGCATCGCGCGAGCTGGTTAGGGTAGAGAGTGCCTGGGATCACCGAAGCCGGGTGCGCGAAATCGCGCGGGTCAACAGGGAACTGCACGCCCCCAATCTCGAACGACAGGTTGTGCGGGATAGAGCAATCGAAGTTATCTCCGACCATAGAGAGGATATGCGTAATGACGTCCAAAGGTCCGCGGATGAGTGAGTTGCCCTGCATGGCCAGTTGTCGAAAATTGTCGATGAGCACTGAGTGTCTGCCAGCTGGAAGGGAAGGAGGACGCCCACCGTATCGACTAATGCGGAGAGCGAGATGGAGGACGGTGAGAGTGTGGAGCGTGGTAATTTCACGCCATCGAAGTAGACATCGTCGAGCGGAATTTCCCATACGAGCGGGTAGACCTGCCTATATGCTTGAGCGCGACTTCGCTACGCATATATCCGACATACCTCATCCGGAGCATCCGACGGTGACGCAAGACCGCCCTCTTGAGCAGTATATCCACGGACAGGAACCCAGGTGAGCTGGTCGTCTACAAGTCCAAATGGAAGGGCGCCTAGAGAGAAGGTACCAGCGGTGTCGCTCAGAGATACTGTATCCCGCTGCAGAGCAGTCACTACCATTGGCCTTGACAGAAGCTTCCAAGTGACAAGTCGAGTGAACAGAGGGCCGATGGTGGGGAAGGTGTCCGTAGCAGATGCGTAGGGATCGTGCGCTTGTTCGCGTTTTTGAGAGCCATTGGTCAGCGTACCATTGAGAAAGCCCAGATCAGGAAAACCCAATTTGCCAGGCGACCCAGCAGCACGTTTGCGGATCGGCGGAACTGGTCCGTAGTACTCAGTAGCCAGAAGTTGTCTCCAGATCGCGCTGATGGGTGGAAAGCCAAGCCCTAGAATGCCCGCGCAGCCTGTCTCCAGAACAGTCGTATCTGTGTCGACGATAGAAGCAAAGTATTGTTCGGGGACAGATATGCCAGCAACGCCAACAGCATCTGTGCCGATGTGGCCGAACGCGTGGGTGCCCGTGCGCGAGTCGCCGTAGAGGAGTTGCACGTCTTGACGTGCGGGAACGAAGGAGGCCTCTCGATAGAGGGGTACGCCAGTTCGCGCGCACGGTTGCCCACATCTGTCCGAGATGAGCCAGAGGTCCGCCGAGCCAGTGTCTTCGCGTCTAAGTCCCAGTATATCCCAATCCACCATGAACGGCAGCACGTACCAATTACGAGCGGAGTCAAGGTCTCTCCGACTTCGACGAGAACTGTATACGTACTGCTGTGGGTGTTGGAACTGGTGAATCAAATAAGGTAGCTGTCGTGGACTCACACGTCGAGTACATCGCCAAGGCCGGTGTCCGCAATGTCTCCGTCGCGTTTGTGGTGGAGTCTCCTCCCCCGTTGGATGGGCAGATGTACCCCTCTTTCGCTATTTGCGTAGACAGCTCCAAGAGCAGAAGCAGCAGACACAATGATGAAGAGCACCTGCTTCATGCTATCGGAGCGAAACCAGCGCGGATTGAGGAGCCACACAATCCTCCAAGTCCGTCGTGTGTGTCTGCAAACGAAACAGTACTCACAACTTGCTGGACGGGTCGGGGAGGCGGCAGAGAAGAGTCAGACCACCAGGCAGTGAGCATAAACGAGAGCACCCAAAGACGCCACTCCTGACTGGAAACTACGTACGACATCCACCCACCGTTGCCCCATGGCTGAGTTGGTTACAGCGTCCGACTGTTATTCTCATCTTGCAGAGCGATGATGATCGGAAGGTCGTGAGTTCGAGCCTCACTGGGGCAGTTTCTTTTTTCCATAAGCTCTTCAAATTCGGTTAAGCGCACAAGTGCCTCCGTTGCGCCTGTCCATACTGTCCAAGTCAAAAATCTGTCTTTTCCTCACGGTGTCACCAATCTACTCTCACACAATGACATCGCTCAAGCGACCTGCCAGCTCCGACTCAAGTGACGATGATACCCCGAAGCTGTCTCATTCGGGTCCTCGAAAAAAGTTGCCAAAAGCGAACGTCATGTGGTGGAACGATTCCACGAAGCACAGAAGCAGAAACAAAAGGAGCAAAACCGCGTTCTCGATAGAGTACTGAAGGATCGCGCTGCGGACTCAAAGGGCAAGGACAAGGGCAAGGCGAAGGATGCAGGGCGACGACAGAAGGGGAAAAGCTCCGGAGAGGACGCCCCCGACGGGGAAGAAGACGAGGAAGGGCTCGACGATGCTGCAGGCGGTACGAGCAGGGAGGAACTGGAGGCGAGGATGGCGCGTGCGATGATGGAGGCAGAGGACGAAGAAGATGAGGAAGACGAGGAAGAAGAGGGAGGTTCGGCTTTTGCAGGCCTTTCTGGACATGACATCGAGATGGGCGAAGAAGCTTCTGACGAGGAGGATGAAGATGGAGATGAGGGCGAAGATGAGGATGAGGATGGTGATGAGGAGATGGGGTCTGGAGATGGTGAAGATGAGGACGATGACGATGACGATGAGGAGGGCGACGAAGACGATGAGGACGATGAGGACGACGAGGTCATAAATCGACAGAAGCAAAGGTACCTCCCCGACCATCTTTTCAAGTCCGCATTGGCAAGCGTACCCTCTCGAAATTCGAAGATTGTCTTCGGCGATGAAGCTGCACCTGCCCGTTCCTCTTCCACCCACCTGCACAAACGCAGACGGACAAAACGCCCTTCCAAGGACATCATTCTAGGGTATGTCCTTTGACTGTTCTACTCCTGCAGTCATACTCATTATTCCGGTGTTGTAGATCTCGGACCATTCGCACTTTGGCCAAACCCAGCGCTGCGACCAAGAGCCTCGTACCTCCAAAGCGAGTAGCCAAATTCGTGAAGGCTAGCCTCAACCTGAAGGCAGATTCATCAAAGGCGAAGTCAAAAGGATGGTCAAGGAGACCAGGTAAGATCCTCTCCCTGGGCCCATCTCCTGAGCGACGAGCGCACCGCTCACAAACCACTCGCAGCCAACTTGGGCGTGATGAAGAGAAGCGGGCCGGCAGCGAACTTCGCGCGCAATGCATAGCGTTCTCTCGCATTTGAGCTCCTCGCGTCTCGGTGTATCGTACATTCTCATGACACCTCTCCGATAGCAACGCTATATTCTGTCAAGGGAAAGACAACTTGTTTGCCTTCGCTGCCACCTCTGCGAAAAAGATCGCCGTCTCCGCCATAATGACCAGCCGTCCGTCCCCGGCAAACACTAGGTTCGCAGAGACTTGCCCGACGAAGAACTTGCCGAGAAGCGTCCCCTCGGGGTTCCAGACCTGCAGCGGAACCATCAGCTGCGAGTCGAAGAAGCACAGGTGCGTGGCCTACCTGGACTCCATCTCCACATCCAGCATACACATTGCCCGCTGCGTCGAGCTGGATACCGTCCGCAATGCCGGTGTCGACGTATGCGAACACGCGTCGGTTTTTGAATGCGCTCGATTTCGGGTCGACATCGAACGCGTATCTGTCCGAGTAAAAGTCAGTGCGCACGAGTCATGCAGCAGTGAGCGGCCGTGTTCCTACATCGTCGCTGGCTCTGTCTGGTTGTTGCCGAGGAAGCCGGCGTTCGCGCCAGTGTCCGTGCTGCGCAGGACGTCAGTGTCTACTTCTGATTCTGAGAAGAATGGAGGATTCGCGAATCCCGTACATGAATGCCGTTTCCCCGTCTGGGCTGAACGCGATCCCGTTGCAGCGGTCGAACCCATCCGCGACCACTCGTACAGAGCCCGTGTCAGGGTCAAACCTGTACACCTGGTTCGGCAGCAGCGGGAGGGGGCGGAAGTGGTTTAGGAATCCGTATCTAGATGGATGGCACGGTCAGAGCGCTCAGTACCTGAGCTGCGTTCGATACGCACGTTACATCTGTGAAGAACAGCTTGTGCGTCTTTGGGTGGACCTTTACGTCGTTCAGGGAGTTGAACTGCCTCCCGAAGAAGTTGTCGAGCAGAACGGTTGTGTTGTGGGGAGGCAGAGGGTTCACAAGTGCTAGAGAAGGCGGAATCGGGCCTCTTCCGGAGTTGACGAGTACCAATTGCCCAAAGAAGGGCCCGGTTCCCCCGTTTGTCATCTGGATGGACTCTGGTAGGTCTATCTTTGTTACGAGCACAGCTCTATTAGCAACTATGCGCTGTCTCAGTATTTTAGTCAGATCCTCACTTTCGTAACCGTCACATTCACCGGCGCAATGTCCCTCCCGGACGCCCTAATCGCCGCGGCGACGTCTTTCAGACTGATCTTCGCGACCTGGTTGTTATGGTCGATGTCGCTCATCCCGAGCATGCCGCCGTCGTTGCTCGCGAAGAAGACCTCGTCCGTGCCCGGGTTCCATATCGGAGCCTCGTGCGCGAACGCGAACGTCGCGTTCGCCGCAACTGCGCGGATCGACGCACTCGGGCCCAGGATTTGCAAAAAGTCGGGGTGAAACACCTGGAGGAACGGCGGCGTCGCGTTCGTCGGGTTGAAGAACTCTTCGGTCGCGATCTGGCGGAAGGCGCCGTTGATCCCGAGCACGTTGAAATCCCGTGGATCGACGAGCTGTGACCGCAGTGCCGCAGCAGGTCCACCACCGCCACGTATGGTCGTGTTGCGCATGTAACAGAGGTTGCAAACCGTAAGTATGATGCACAGGTTCGCCCCCGTCGAGGAGGGCGGAGATAGGCGCACTGACGTACTCACCACAGCTTGTGGTGGGAGCGCTGATGCGTTCCCTCTCCCAGATTGAAATAATGTCGGGCTCGGACTCGGGTTGGACGCGTACGCCCATGCAGCCAAGCCGATAACGACTGCGGACATACTCGAGGTTACCATCATCTTCAAACGTCGGAGGCTTCGGGGCCTGGATGGTTCCGCTATAGCGTCCTGCGTGGGCTTTTGTAGTTGGTGCGCTGGTAGGTGGTGCCGTCATCGCACGGCTTCGGAATTGCGGGGAGGGGGGCACCCACGACGGATGTTTTTGGGTCTCATGACTGGGATCGTAGGACTTCGGGTAAGACTTAGATCTGAGGAATCCTGCTCGTGTGTTCGCCAGGATTACTATCCAGTGGGTGTCGTCGCCTGTAGGGTGGGACTGTCGGACAACCGTTCGGTGTGCCTGCGGTCCGGAGACAATCGAAGCCTGCTCGTCAGACGTGTGCAGGGCTGACATCAGTTCATTTGCAAACATGAACGGTACTCACTCCTCCTGGACTGCTGAACCACAGGACTTGACTTATCCGGTGGTGTGTACGAAACAATGTAGCGCTTACGATGGGGATCACGACTCTGGGCGGGTGCCTATCGTGATCTAGCCTCACGCCCAACTACATACTGACTGATATGGCTGCTTGACAGACATTCATGGTGTACAAGAATGCCCACGAGGAGTCCATAAGAAGTACAATGAAGGGAACGGCCGGATTGGGCATGGTATTATATGTCGGACGTAATGGGCATGTGAACCCGATGGGAAGGAGATAGCCTTTTTGGTGATGGACGGTCCGCCCGAGTTCGCAAGACAATAGAGCACCTCGCTCTCCCGCGCCGATAGATCTTTCCAGCTCTGTCGTTTCTTTTGTTGTCTCCTCCTGGGACATGCGCATCCATCACGCCTGCGCTTTCCAAAACAAAAGACGATGGTAGACGAGTCGGAGCGAGATTCGCTCATAACTCGCTACTCGTGAGGGCGATGATCCTAACGTCTATCACCCAGGTTCGTTCGCCACAGCGCTGACATCGACCAATGGGACCAGATTTCGACGCCGTTGTCGCCATGTCTCGATCGCTCACTGCTACGACGACTGTCGCCGTGTCGCAACGTTACCTTACATCCCCGAGCGGGCCAGATGGACACTTCGAATATAAACCACTCACTCTCCATCTGGACCCTTCGTCGCAATACTCCCTGACTTCCCTGCAACGGGCCGCAATGAAGAAGCCTGCACCCATCGCACGGCTCCCCGTCGAACTTCTCTCGTACATCTTCGTGCTCGGCGCGCACACACCGGACCCCGAGCGGCCATCGGCAGACGAGTACGGACTGGGATACGAGAGCGCGGACGATATCTCGCCCTGCCTCGCGTCCTCCAGCGCGACTTCTCCGGATGTATTTGCAGCGGTGAATCGGCACTGGCGCTCGGTGGCGGTAGCGACCCCGCAGCTGTGGACGAGGATCTGTGTCACGATTGGGGACGTGATGCGACGCGGGGCGCTCTTCGCCGCAGTGTCTCGTTCCGTGTCGCGGTCTGGGAAGTGCCCGCTAGATATCTTCATCGACGCGCGAGACCCTGACTGGGACTTCTCTGAAACCGAGTGAGTCCGATTCTGCAGGCCTCAGGTTTCGTGTATGTGCTAACCTCATTCGAAGCTCTGTCGGGGCTGTCATCAGTCCATACATCGACGAACTGTACGACTACACGCACCCATTCAAGGTCGAGCACATGCATCATGTGCTGAACATACTCCTTCTCCACGTCCGCCGCTTCCGCTCGCTCGCGATCCTCACGGACAGGTGGGCGCCCATGCAAACCGCACTAGACTGCCTGAGCATGGAAGTCTCCGCATTTGTCTCAGCCCCGCGTCCTCTGCCATCAAGTCTTCCCATGCTCGAAACGCTCGTCCTCATGCGCTGCAACGAGTTCGTCAGCTACCACAGCGAGTTCAGTCCGGCAGACAGAAAGGACCCTGCGTACCTTCCATTCAGCGCGCTTCTCCACGGTTCAGACTCAGCAGGACCAGTGCTCCCCGGTCTGAAGAAGCTACAGCTGTCCGGGGTGCACATGCACTGGCCATCTCTCCCGCGTCTCCTCCCCC